TCATGTTCTATTTTTCGAAGATATGAGTATTTTGCGTGTACATTTTCTTCAAATAGACAGTTTTTATTTTCTCAAAAAGGGCTCAATTTTAAAAAAATCTACTCTTACGCATCAGAGAATTGGTAAAAAAAATTGGTATTGGCTCCATTTTCTGTAAACTCTCTATATTTTAGAAAATTATGCAAAATTAACATCATCAAAGTATAGTATTGAAGACAGTTTTTGTTTTAAATGAAATCTGTTTTGAAAACATCAGATCTTAAAACTCATGAGCATTTATTTGAAAAATAGTGATTTTCGCGTGATTTGTGATCGACGGAAAAAATAGACCATTGGTTTCTCGAAGCTGCCCCAATTTTTTTTTCAGGGATCGAGGAAAGGGCGCTTAAAAAATGGCAACGGTCCTCTTAATTTTCCTGAACCGTCTAAATTTTCAAAACACGCAAACGTTATAAATAATGCGAAAAAGTAGTTGCTGTTGGAGAACGAATAATTTATTTACATTATTGCTGGTACGATATTGATTTATTTTCATTTGTTACTATTTACGTTTATTTATTTATTTGATAATTTATTTAATGATAACGAGACTGGGACCATCTATTCCGACAATTTTTTTTAATAATATATAATAATATATTTAATAATAATATATAATATAAGAAATATTGATGTAGGGATAAGTATCGATAGAAAATGTTGAAACACGCAACAAACATGAAGAAAGGCCAGGGGAAGTATTTGTGGCAACGCTTTTTACCGCAATGCTTTGGCCACAGCAAAGAATAATAGGCTGCGTGTTCCTGCCACGTCGACGTCATCAATTGTGGGTTTTATTGTACTACCACGAAATGTCAATCAATATGGCTCGAAATTATGCGTTTCGTTATGCTATGAAAAAACCGAGATACAATTCACATGTCTCCATAATCAAATGGTCTCCTGTGATAAAGAATTACCGTTGTCTGGACTCGAACTGGGATATCAAACTTAACGGAATCGGACTTCTAATATTGTTGTAGCCGATGCATCTTCATAAAATGCATACCGCTTGCCTACTATGGAAACATATTTTTTAGATTCGCTTTCTACAAATTAGCAGTGAAAAGTTTGCTCTTTTGAACAGGAAACCGAACACAATGAACCTGCATTGTGTTTCCACTCTGTGACAAAATTTGTATTTTATTGTCTACTTGGATTTTTTCATATTTTGTAAAACAGTTTTGTTTTACGAAATTCGTCAGGTTTATCGTGCTTTATTTTCGTGGCGAGACTCAAGCTATCAGGTCCACTTTTCCGACTGATCACACTTTCGCTATGTTCCTTTCAGCATTCACCGAACGAAGAAGATATCATTCTGGCGACGAAACAGACGATTTGAATTTATCTCAGAAGATTCATTTAGGCTTACCTTACACGCAGTAAATATACAACATGGTACAATCGGGTTTACTTTCTTTTCGAAGGACGGCTTCTATCGGGTTTCAACTCGCAAACTTAGGTACTACAGTCCAATACGCTAACCGTTATTTCACCGAAGACACATAATAGGTGACGGCAGCTCTTTTAATATCCAAAGTTCACACATTCCCACGAATTTACTTCTTCCTTATACAAGAATATTTGAGTGCTTTACAATTTCAGTGATGCAGTCGGATCTTTTCGTAGTATTCTAGCTTGTATGTTGACTCACGATAAAATGCTCTAGTAAAAATAATTTTGAAAATACGCTGTTGTGAATAACAAACGCCGACTTTTCATTATCTGACTATAACACAATTGAAATTCAAGTTTGCGTGATTGGGAATGTCCAATTCGTCGTTTTTCCGGGAACGTAGTTAAGTATAAGGACGTTGTAATTGTCCAAGCGATACTTGCGCATATTCAAATAGTCATAAATTTTCTCAACTGTAGGGGAACACATCTCAATAATAGTCGAAGAAATTTGAAAGGACCGCGTGGCGCTTTCCACATGTTGCGAGAAAAAGCGATGACCTAACTGAACGTGAGACTGCGCGGAAAATATAATCATTTGTTTTAGATAAGACACGGTGGCGAGATGTATTCTGAGCTGCTATTTGTCATTTCGAAGGTATGTAACGATATGGCTTTTCACATTTGCCACAGTAAGGCGAGTACGAAAAAAAGGATTGCAATAATAATCACAGAAACTTCCTGAGTGAACGGGATTTTACAGATATTATGTAAAAAATGCTCTAAGGGGAAGATTACGTAGTTATGTAATTCTAAAGTATTTCTAGAGGTAAATGAACCCTCTGATCTTGCTTCGTGGTAGAGTTTTAGGCTGATGCTCAACAGGAATAGCTAAATCAACATCTGGCAATCAGAAATGAAAAAAAACTTGCGTATGTATTTCGTTTAGGATGTGTACGTCTATTGAAGATATAAAATTACAAAGTATTGTAAAAGAAGAAAACTTGTGAAGACCACAAAGGCGCGTCCTCAAACGACGTCACTGGGCATCTAAAGGGATTAATGACAAAAAATGTTTCAAAATCTTTCACATAAATTAGAGTGTCAGTTGTAAAGAGTAGAAATGGAAAGAGAAGTATATTTATTTAAAAAATCATACACGTAAACATTTAAATCTGTAGGATCAATGATAAATTAAATATATATTTTTCTTTTCATTTCAGTTGTTTTCGTTTTGAAATTCTAGGATAAAATACCACTGTCTTCACCACAAGAGCATAACATAATTTAATAATCACAAAAGTTTGGTTGTGATTATTGTTAATTTGGTAACAAAAATGTTTTTTTTTCCATCTGCATTGGAAATAACAGAAATATATGAAAACCTTACGTTGTCTTGGATTTTATTCACTTGGTTATAGTTACATCTCTTGAAGTGCATATGTCGTGGTCGCCGTAGGTTGAGCTCGTATGCGACCGGATGAATAAGACAGCACCTTCACTATTTCGGTGCATCTTGGCGCGAGTGCACGTTCCTTTCGGCTGAGCTGCATGCATGGAGGTGCGAGACTGACTCTTTAAGCGGGCCTTCGTAACGCCTCCAGGTCGCGTGACCGGTACACGATTGCACTGAATGAGGTGAGGGACGTATTGGGGTAATCACGAACGTTTTTTAATATTATGGAAGAAGTCGTTTTTATGAACGTTAACTGATAAGTTCAGCTGGAACTAAATTTGTAGAACGTAATCAAATAAGTCTAATAGAAATTCGTCTTATATAAATTTAGTTTAAATCAGTCCAATAGAAATTCGAAGAATGGGTACATCTGTAAATTATAGACATAATCAGGAATGTGTGTACACATTCAAAAAATATCATTTTCGAGATGCATCAGAGAGATAGGAAACGTTAAAAAGAGGTGAAATACGACAGACAGAACCTCAACACACACTATGCATTTTCTCTATTTACTTATAAACAATGTATTTAATTTATGTGGTGAAGAGAGGAAACTTTGGGAGTAAGCAATAAAAATTCTCTAGGTTAGAGATTGTTCAGGATGATAATTAAATGGTATTTATTGTCAATTTGAACATTTATGTGATGAAGAGAAGAAACTTTGGGAGTAAGCAATAAAAATGCTCCGGGTTGGAGATCTTTCAGGATGATAATTATATCGAATTTATTGTCAATTTGAACATATCTTGGGTAATATGTGACACATGCCACCAGGCACTTTAAATTATACTTTGATTTCAGTACCTTTGATTACACTATGATTACATTTTGATTACACAACAGCTGCTCAACTTTGGCCTTTTTATCTGTCACGGCATGAGGTAAAAGTCACGGCATCCCGTCCTCCTTATCATTTTTATGAGAAATAGAAGCACAAAAACACATTCCTATTGCTAGAATTGTGTCAATTGTTCAGATTGTAAAAAATACAATTTGCCAATGACAAAATATGATCAAATAGTATTGCGAGTAAATCAGGACAAACAGACCTGCATTGGGAAAACTATTGCTGCAAGGACATGAAAAGGTAGTGTAAGATTTTACTGATGTTCTTTTCTATTTATAGAACATCATTTACTTCTTCCGGTTTTTCTTCAAATAATTATCGAATGCAAGTTCACGGTCTTGCTTTCGTCGCCCTTTCAATAAGACGTCCGGAGCATGTGCCCCGCTTGCTTCCTCCCCTTTTCCAAGTTTCGTTCTTGACAATGACACTGCTATCTACAGATGACCAAGTCATTTTCGGTAGTGAAGATGGACTGTTAAGTAATACAACTCGTGAGTTGTAGACACTGTGAAAATCTTTTAATAACGACAGTATTGGTTAAAAAAGTGAAGATATGACATTTTGTGCTGGTATTCTGTGTGATCGATAATCCCAATAGAAAATAAATAGATAAAAGCAGTGAATATACTGATATTGAAAAATATCCATCAGGCAGAGAAGACCACAAAAAATATTAAAATGGAACAATTAGACTATATCTGCGATACAAAGTTACAAATAAAGTTTTGAAGGACATACTTTTATAACTTAACAAATTATCTGTGCCAACTCTCCTGTAAATGAGAGCAAACGTTGGGTACTGAAGGAAAGACAAAGAGTAGAAATTACATTCCTTAGAGGAAAAGATGGATACAGAAAGTCAACTCACGAAAAAACATCGAATTTAAATGGGATACACATCTCTGCACTTGTAAAATGTCACAGGAGTGTAGAAAGGGGTTGTCGGCGCATCTCTCACAAAGTAACGACCGCCCTACCACTTCTGACCATATCGCAAGTCTCTTGGTAAGGTAGGGAGAACTACAAAATGGAGCAAGCAAACCTAGTTATAGAATCATGCCTTGTGCATGAAATTATGATGACAGTGATGAATGTTTTTGATACATATATCAAATACTTAGAGAAAATAAAGAAAAAATGATAGAAAATTCGTTTTATATTCTTTAGCAATATACTTCATTACACCCAATATATTTAAACCATTATTTTTCAAAGTGTGCTTTTATTTTTACATACTTATATTTATTTCTATCTTTTCAGGTATGTTGCTGAATCAAGAATCCATTTTGAACTGTTTAATATTGCAGAAACATGTGGGTGAGTTCAAGCCCTTTTATTTTAAAATTTTAAAATTCGTTAAAATATAATACGAGTATTCCATCCTATAATGTTTCATAACTTCACACGTTGTTTATTTGATCAATACTCTCAAATTATTCTATCCAAGCAGCTTGAAATCGGTTTGTCAAAAGATAATTAAAACCATTTTAAGGGAAAAAATATTTCATAACACCTCAATGATAATGAAATATATTATCAATGAAAATATTAACATATTTATAGGCCAGTTTTGTTGTAAAATATGTTTATTAAGTACTAATATACCTACGAAGATTGTTACCTAAAATTTGTTTTAGGGTCAATTTTGTACGTGAGATATAACGAAGAATTAGTGTATTATTAACTCTCAGATTTTATAATTTATTTTGAAATTGTTTCTCTTACTCCAAGCAAGACTAACTTTGCAGGCAAAGCGTTTATTTGAACATTCGCCGGAGAAGAACAAGGGAATCGATAATGAGAAGGGGCTCGGGCCAATTAATTGAAGAATATACAATCTTTTCATCTTCGTAGTGGAAAATATTAATCCTGTTAAGGATATTGAATTTCAACCCTTTTGAAGCGCAAGCGATTTCTTGATCATTTTCCACGTAATTTCAAAATAGACTCTCTTGAGTGTGCCGGCCACTTTCCGAGAAACAGTCTTTAGATTTGACTTCTGAAAACTAATACAAAGCAACATAAATCTTCTTAAATATTTTATATATATATATATATATATATATATATATATATATATATATATATATATATATATACTACACTAGTGTGATTCTGCGAATAGAATATAAACGCATAAAAACAGGCAGATAGACAAAATAGCCGAACGATCGAATTTTCTTGGTCATTGAAATTATTGCAAAAACTAAACTTTACATGGAAATAACCAAAAAGACGGACATTATCCTGAAACGAAATATAAAAAGAGCCTTACGTACGCGTCATTCTTCAAGAATGTAAAGAACATTCTTCCCAAATCCGAATAAAACCGAATAACGTGTTTGTCGCGATTGCGTAACAAACTCACAGACAGATGAAATAACAGACGGTACCTTTGTACGGTCAATTATAACGCAATGTATTACCTCCTATTACGATGTTTTCTTGGTTTGCGATATAGAACCAAATCACGGTTTCTTTTTTATTAATTTCTCTGTGCTACTATTCATGACAAGATTTTTACGTACTGATATTTTAAACTGAATATGGAATCTGGGAAACGTGTATTGCAGAATTTATAATTATGCATTGAAAGGATAATTGAGTAATGAAACTTTAGTTACCGAAATATGAGTATAGAAGTACGAACTGAATGTCGCTTATCAATATGGGAGCTGCGGGAAGCTTGTGGCTTTAAGGAAGGGCTTGGCTTTCAGAACTACCTCCAGCATGTGCACAAGACAGTGCTACTGTAGTCTTGTGCACATGTTAGATATGGCCTCACACATGTCAGTGTGACATTGAGTAATGCAAGGAAGAGAGATGCGGCTTAAATCTCCATTGTACATCTCCATTCTCCGAACAGTAACGTTTTGAAACCTGCTGGTTCCAGCATCGTGAAAACAGCCAGTGGCTCGGGAGCTATTTGTAAATTGCATTGCAAGTTTTCTCGGGCTCGTCATTTTACTCTTTATCATGTTCATTCTAACCCTTCCCTTCTCCCGGAATTATCTTCCTTCACAATCAACTCCCTGCACAATTAACCTCGCACCTTAAGTACCATTGCATTCGGTGGTTCCCTTCAAGAAACTGCGGGGTAAACTGTTTACAAGTCTTTTGTCTGAAGTAAGACTACGTGGATTGAACTGACGTTCTTCTAACAATAAGTATTTTCTCCAGATATGAACTATTTCTCGTGTTTTGTCACACATACATGAAATAAATGTTTTTTGTTAAATATAAGTAAATTATTTAATAAGCTCTAATTCTGTCGAGTGTTGTAGAAGATTATAAAAAAACCTTCGTAGTTGGCCTGTTATTGGATCGTGTGTTATACTGTTGACGCTTTCTATATGCTGGTTCTCATCAGGGATTTAGACGAGAGAAGTTTCGTTAATCGTTTCAAAAATTTTGTAATATGAAAATTCTGAATAAACTTGCACCAAGCTGGTTATTAACATTTTCTGTTGTTTAGATATAAATGAACCCCAGTGACATCCTACAAGGCAAAGTTAAATTCAACAACCTGAATTCCATTGTGATAACTAGAGAATATTCCGTCAACCACTCTTGTCACTGGTAGAGGAAGGCGTGTGTGTCAACATGACGTAACACTCCTCTCCAGGGTTACAATCCGGAATTAAGCACCTCGGACAAATTGCGCGGGGGGGAACATCTGGGAAACGCGTGCTATTTGAGCCTCCGTCAGTTTCAAAGGGCGCGCAGCCCTGCAGCATTCATCCTCCGCCTCTGTTCGTCGCCCTCGCCCTCCGCCCTCGCCCTCCGCCCTCGCCCTCCGCCCTCGCCCTCCGCCCTCGCCCTCGCCCTCGCCCTCGCCCTCCGCCCTCCCCTCCGCCCTCGCCCTCCCCCTCGCCCTCCGCCCTCGCCCTCCGCCGCTCGCCCTCCGCCCTCGCCCTCCGCCCTCGCCCTCGCCGCCTCGCCCTCCGCCTCGCCCTCCGCCCTCGCTCCGCCCTCCCGCCCTCGCCCTCGCCCTCGCCCTCGCCCTCCGCCCTCGCCCTCCGCCCTCACCTCCGCCCTCCGCCCTCGCCCTCCGCCCTCGCCCTCGCCCTCCGCCCTCGCCCTCCGCCCTCGCCCTCCCCCTCGCCTCGCGCCCTCGCACTCCGCCCTCGCACTCCGCCCTCGCACTCCGCCCTCGCCCTCCGCCCTCGCCCTCCCGCCCTCGCCCTCCGCCCTCGCCCTCCGCCGCTCGCCCTCCGCCCTCGCCCTCCGCCCTCCCTCCGCCCTCGCCCTCCCTCGCCCCGCCTCGCCCTCCGCCCTCGCCCCCGCCCTCGCCCTCCGCCCTCGCCCTCCGCCCTCGCCCTCCGCCCTCGCCCTCCGCCGTCGCCCTCCGCGTCGCCCTCCGCCGTCCCTCCCCTCGCCCTCCGCCGTCCCCTCCGCGCCTCGCCCTCCGCCCTCGCCCTCCGCCCTCGCCCTCCGCCCTCGCCTCCGCCCTCGCCCTCGCTCTCGCCCTCCGCCCTCGCCCTCCCCTCGCTCTCGCCTCCGCCTCCGCCCTCGCTCTCGCTCTCGCTCCGCCGCCCCCTCGCCCTCCGCCCTCGCCCTCGCCTCCCCGCCGCCCTCGCCCCCCCTCCGCCTCTCCGCCCTCGCCCTCCGCCCTCGCCCTCCGCCCTCGCCCTCGCCCTCCGCCCTCGCCCTCCGCCCTCACCCTCCGCCCTGGCGTTGTCACCGGCGTTGCAGGCGCGGCATCTCTCTGCTGGGGTCCCTCTCCCTGCCGCGCGCTCGCCCTCGCTCGTGTAAATTGGACAGGCGGCCCTCGAGGATTATGAGTGACTTACGGGGAGATTAGGCCCAGCGCGCCGGAGCGCCAGTGCGCCGCCTCCTGTGCTCTGCCCAGCCGCCGCAGCCGCGACGCCGGCGTCGGATTTTAGGTGGCCGTGGGAGCGGACACCCTCGCCTGCGCGTCGCCGCTGCCCTTCTTGCGCGACGGCGAGGCGCTCGGAAGTGCCCGGCTCCCACATCGAATTGCTGTTCTTGGTCGAGGGGCTGTGTGGCAGCAACTCGGAGCGTAGGGGTCAGGCCACTATATTCTCTGCCCAGTCCTGCGATCAGTTATTATGGCTCATGAGCGTGCCAAATTAACGTGGTCGGTGAGCAACATGTAGAAACGTATTCCACGTTGGAAAAATTGAGCAGAGGCTTTCGTCCTATCTATTCTTTTGTCATTCCGCCAACACGAGAAAGTTTGGATAAAAATAATTTATATATTTTACTAAAATGTAAGCAGTGTGAAAGAATGAAAAATTCGTATTTTAAGAAACATATTTATCCGGCCTGGGTAGTCGTAGTCTCTAAAGGTGAAGGGACGTGACTTCCTTGGCTTGAAGGGTCTCGGGTTCGAATCCCACCCCGGGCATGGTTGTTTTTGTGTGACTGTATGCATGTTTGGTACCGTTACCTCAAAGTTCACTACAAAACCGATGTCCAATTACAATGGTCTTTAAATGACCATATGAGTTGTTAAGCGTACTTAAATAAGTAAAAAGCAAACAAAAATATTTACACGGATTATTCTTTAATTAACCGTTGATCTATTTCGAGTTTCATTGATCTATATGGATCAAACCATGCCCCCCCCCTAACTAAACTGTTCACAATATTCAAAAGCAGTTTTTGCTCAGCAATACGAAGTCTTGGGGCTGCAAACATACTGTTTGAAATGTTTTTAGTTTTCGAGAAATTTAATCATCTTTAATTTTTTAAATGGAACTGTTTATTTTTATCACTTGCAATAGACAGATCGTAAAAAGAGGAATGCTATGATGCTACATACGGTAATGATTTGATAATATTTTGAGTCTAAAATTATGTAATTTCTGACTTGTGGTTTTAAATTAAGGGTGCAATATTCCCTGTAGCAGCCCTTGCCACTGCAGCCGGGAAGGTCACCGTTGCAAGGGCTTCTGCAGGATATAATATAGTTCAATTTAAAATCACAAGTCAGAAAGTATACTTGTACACTCAAATAATTGTCTTCTTATTTATTTATTTTCTTCCCGTTCGACTTTTGTCTTTCGGGGGTTTTGACGGGTACAGTGTTACATACAATGATTTTACATAGTCATCCTCAGACAAATGCGGGTCTCGGAATAACCCTTCACTATATTTTTAAAATTTCATATTTGGATATCTTCACTAAGAGAAGTTTGCATTTGTGGTTTAGAGAAGGAGGGAGAGTGTTTTTGGTAAAAGGGGGCAAATAATTTTATGAATTAGGGTGGGCGAAAGAGACCTTTGGGGAATCTGGATCTAATGCGTGATGGATAATGTGCGTTTTGTCCGAAATTGAATATTGGAGTGTTGGGGCATGCTGAGAGGAGAGAATAATATTTTTTGGAGGTTTGTGAGATGAATTCTGCGAGGAGAGGTATTTGAAGCTGTCGGTGGATTTCAAATTATTATCAAAATATGAACATATGATACAACATTGTTACTCTTTTTATGATGCACCAATTGCTGGAGAGAAACATCTATTATTACATTTAAATAATCGATATTATTACATTTCTCGCGAACTAAAAATATTTCAAACAATACGGTAAAGGAATTAATCTCCACAAACCTTTTGTGGAGATTATTTTCTTTTCGATATTATGGATTACCACAAGATATCTGCTACCACCACGGAATTTATTTCAAACAATATCTCTACAGAACATTACTTGGCTTATGATTCCGCATTGTTGAGCAGAAACTGAATTTCGATATCATGAACTGTTTAGAAGTTATGAGGTGGCTCACAGAGAGTATACATTATCCTTGCTCATTGAAACTCAAAATAATAAATAAACAAATAACCAAGAAAAATGCTGATATTGAGTTTATATTTATTATTGTTTTGCGTTTACGTAAATTGCGCACTTTATAAAAATAGACGTACGTGTGCAGCCTGAACAAGAACATTAGAGTAAGTGAAGTGATTTCGGGAGTCAGTCTCCTCAGTGAAGTCATCACGGAAAAAATCCTGAATTTTCACCCCCATTGCAGAGACTGCCATACTAATAATTTTGATTCTCCGAGAAGATATTTAGGGAAGTTAACGATCTCAAATGTTACCAATGTTACCAAGTTTATTGCTGTTTTTAAAGCTTGCTTTAATGCGTTCTCCAATGTACGATTAATGCTTTAGGCATTTGGAGGTCGGATTAACCCTAGTTGTTTTTTTTATTTCGTCACACAGATATAGAAGGTGAGACAATTTGCATTAGCATCATTTTTTGCTTTGCCCTGATATCAAACCCGGGACTGACTCTCAGAAAGATGGCACGCTCTTCATTAGCCACCCGAGGGCCTATCTTAATCCAATTACTTCCAATTTTCACTGTGGATAGAATTAATTCAGTTTCCTGTCTAATAGTAGTGTTAAATAAAACTTAAATGCTAATAGTAATGTTCCTTGGCAATGTCAGTATTTCAGCAATTGGTATGTTGGTATCGTTGGTATTGGCGAAAAACAAATATAACCATTTAGTCAAAGAATCACAAACGAGTTTGGGGAAAGTAAAACATTCTAAATCGCTAATTTCTGAAGAAGTGAGTACCGATTTTTTGTTGATATCGTTCAGTTTTCATTTGTAAATGTGGAACAGACCTAATAAGATTCAATTTTACTTCTAGATAATAGGTTTTAAGATTAAAAAGGCAATACGAGTACATTAAATTACAATAAAAGTGACGTATTTAATCCCGCTATAATCACATCAAAAAAATTAAAAATGAATTCACGAATTGAAGTGAATAAGTTCGTACCATTATTCCAATAAAATACTGCATAAAGGCTATATCATTAGCACGGTTTTGAAAATTAATTTATCTCTAAAATGTGCCACTAAAAAGGCTGTTCTGATTTTAATTAGGGCTTTCATTGACATCGCCATACATTGATATTTAGCAGGCCTCCTCAAAAGCCTTTAATGACACCGTTGAAGTACCAGGGCGTTAATGCACTCTCGTGAATAGTAATTATACACAATTCTTAAGAATACTAAATTGTCGCAGTTAAAGAATTTAGTTTTTTATGAGAGTTCGTGTATTCTATTTTTTCACAGTTTTAGACTTTACGTAATTTTACTTTTTTGTTATGATTTTTTTAAATGAATGATTTCTAAACGGAACAGCACTTATACTATCATGAATACGTTTGACGCAGTGCAAACAGCGCCATAAAATTGCAAGTGATACACGACGTATGTACGTAATAACTCGAAAGAGTATGTTTTAAGCACTAAGTGAATGGGTTTTTGATTTATTTTTGGTGTACCTTCTGCTACAATCTTGCACTTGATGTATGATTTTGAGAAAATCAATAATTTAGTGTTAGCCAAATCTGTTATTTAGAGTGATCATTATTTACACAATTTTGACGTCCACTAAATCTAATGTACTTAATTTATTTTACATCTTATGAGAACGTTACTCTTAAGTTGCGAATTCATCTCTCGTCAGGGTTGAGTAACACCGTCCTTTCCACCGCTAGATGTGAAATGTCAGTCAAAGTGGCCTTCTGCTCTTATCCATATTCATAGCCTTACGTGATGCGTGCGTTGAATGTACTAACACCCGATTCTCAACCGATCGCTCAGGCGTTAAGCGTTAGTAGATGTGAAAGGAAGGATTGTCAGAAACCTGTCGAGTTGTTGTGAGGTTTATCATCGTGAAGGTTAACAGTGCAATTCTCTCGTATTCCCTCTATACTGTAATAAGTGCTGCACAATCTACTGGATGAAATGATTTTGTGATTTCCAGAAAATAAGATTTATGTACTGTGAAACACTCATTCGTGGAATGCAGTAAAGCAATAGTGTTGACTTTCGTGCAGAAAGAGAGATTAATTTCGTTTTTAGATAAATGTAATTTAAAACAAATCAAGAATTTCAATGGACCTGGAAAAACTAAATAGTGTAATTGAAGTAATATGTTAATAGAATATTATATTGTTTTGTTGTTTAAAATTCACAGTTTGAATTAATTCAGGGTTTGTTGTATTGATGTGTTTCTTTTTGCTTTTTAAAAATATATGTGATATGTTTAAGAACTTTTTGAATGTTGTTCAATTTCCCCATTCGAATACACCCCATCTAACGCTGAGATCCCATTAGTGGATAAATTAGGAAGTGATGCTTATTAAGTAACCAACTGGCTGGGGTAGATTTAATGCAAATTGCTGTCCAAGCAACTTTTGTCGAATCATCCGCACTCGTTCAGGGGAGTATTAGATGATTGATGCACCACACCCCAAGGGCCAGCTGGGGGGCGTTTTCGTTTTCACAAAACGCAAAAAAGGGCGGCGGTAGCAACATCAAGGACTTATTGTCAAGGTTTTACAGTAGCCTGAACCACGCCGAAAGCCGGATACAGCGAGAAGAGATACACTTCAGTATTATTGGTCTCGGCACAGTGTGAGGTGCATTTAGAGGCTAGAGACACCATCGCTTTCTCGTCTCTCGCGTCGTAAATTTGTCCCTCTCCGTCTGCCGGTTTCGCGTTCCCATCAGACGAATTTCCAGGGGCGTGTGGGAGTGGGGGAAGCGGCGGCGGCGGCGGTAGCGAGGCTGGAGAAGACGCGAGCGCCGCCAGTCCGGAAGCGCCTGGCGCGCGCAGAGACAATCCGCGAATATGGGAATAAATTGAATACGCGGTGCCGTAAACTTTCTCTGCGAGGCGGCGGTGGCGGTGGCGTGGCGGGCGCGGCGGGCCGTGGAGGTGGCGGCGCGGCGGTGCGCGGCGGTTGGCGGGCGCGGCGTGCGGCGGGGCGCGGTGCGGCGCCGGCGCGGCGGCGCGCGGCGGTGCGGCTACGGTGGCGGCGGTAGAGGAGGAGGAAGCGAGGCGCGCGGAGGGCCTCGTGTAGTGGGACGGAGACACAGGCGAGACGGCACTGCGGAAGTTAGTGTGCAGCGCAGGACAATCCGGACTGCGGGGGGGGATGGAAGGGTGGGCTGAGGCCGGTTGTAGTCTTGTGGGTCGAACTGAATGGGGACAAGGGGGACGGTAGAGATTTTTATGCGTGGTAGTATGCATGAAAGAAATATTCATTTTCTTCATTTTTTTTTCAGTGTATGATTACGTGAAACACTATTTAAATATAAAAATAGAAGGTTTGGAAGTGAATGATTGCAATGGAACGATTTAAAAGTGAATTTTCAAATTAAGTGAGAAATAAGGATTATCCTTTTTAATTTCCTATTTGACCTTATTTATTGGAACTAGCGTAGAACGTGGCCCAAGAAATTACAATTCTTTCCCTGATCATGGCGCTACGCGTGTGGTTGCTTGTGGTTTGCTCCATAGCCAAGTCCTGAATCTTAATTCCTTTGTATTTCCAAAAATTGTTAATTTTGGCTTTCTTTCGCGTGTTATTTCTTTTTTTATTTAAGGTTCAATGTGATGTCATAGCGGTAATGTAAGTTACAACTTGCCTGACGCCTGTAATACAAGACAGTATCATAATTAATCCATGAGCGCCACTGGCAACACGGTGTTTTGTGCTGCGACAAATGAAGGAGGCCCGAACGCGACAATGGCGTGGATGGTAGTGAGGTTGCGACATCGATGGCTATGTTTCCAGAACATCGTCTTTTTGAGGAAACATCGATGTATTAAAATCAATTTTTTTTAAATCGATGTTTTTTTTTTTTGTGAATGAAAAATTCCCATTGTCACTGTATTGTGAAAGTTAAAATAAGAAATATTAGCTGACGGTAACACTGTGCGAACCAAACGGAACGCTATTCCTACTATACTCATCAAACGTATTATCTATCACCAGAGATGCCCCAATTGCCTGATATTTCCTACGCCCTCCTTTCTATTTCGCACATGGAGAGGCGAATTCATAGGGTTGAATGTATGGCGTGCCCCTTCTTCCCGTACCCCCATTCAGTGAACTGGAGACTGATCCTCTGAGATGGCCCTGGGCGATCGAGCTTAGTTTTGTCCTTAGTTTTTATTATTTTTTAGTTTGTTTTCAGTTAAATATTTATTATTGATCAGTGTTAGGTTCTGATGACCTAGAATTGTTTTTAAATAGCCTATAAATGTCTCAAAAATAAGGGAAAAATTACCTATTTTTTAAAAAATATTCAAAAATATGTTCGAAAATGTTTATTTATTCAATGAAATTTAAAATTTAATATTAAATTTACTTATATAAAATTATATCTATTTAAAAGTCTATTTTAGGAGGAAATGTAATACTTAGCTCCATCTTCCTTCCAATTTTCTTCGGCTATGAAAGGTCGAGGAAGTTACCGAAACCGTATAATTTTGAGAGTTCGAAAAATAGAGACCACTGCAGTAGTGGATTTCGCCATGAACTTATGATACAATGGAAAGTTTATTTTAGTGTGTTATTGTAAATTTATGAAACATTTATTAACAAAAAGGAAACAAAAGGCGTAAAAGTGACAAAAATGATGCAAACGTCGAATGAAATAACTTAAAAAATTAAAATATTGCAAAAAAGCCAAAAAATTACCCAGCTACGATACATTTCTCTCATCTATGTCATGATAAACCAATGAAAAGATGGCATGTCATCAGAATCCGAGCCCGGATAATAATGAATAAACAGGGCAACTGTCAAATTAAATTTTGTTGTGCATGAACACATACATCCATGGTTGTTAGTCGATGTATTAACATCGGTGTTCGGTAACATTGTGTTTTTGTTTCTTCTAGAAGGGACCATATTCACAGGTCAGGAAACAATTGAACGTCATGCAGGGCGGTGACATTGCAACAGATAGTGATGAACGCATTTACAAAAGAGCTAACTGTAAACGAACGCACTAAAAAATGAGTGCATGGACATAATACACAGTAATGCTGCCAACAGTAGGCAAGCAGTAGCTGTGAAAGCTATCCCTTCTTAGGGGCCTCCATAAATTACGTATCGCAAATTTGGAGTATTTTGAATACCCCCTCTCCCTCCTGTAACAGACCTGTAACGCGCACTTGAACCACCCCTCTAATTATTTCGTAACGCTTGCAACAAAATCCCCCCTCAATACAATAAGTAAAACTCTATTTTAAAGCAGAAACGAGTTGTAGGAATTGTACTTGTGTTACATATTAAAATTTATGATAATTAATCGGAAAATTAGTTGGTGGTGCGGACTGCACATAACAATAAGACTGGCAACATTTTTTGAACGAAAGAAGGATGAGTATGCGAGAATATTTCTAAAACGCCGTCGAGGATAGCGCATACGCTCCCAGTCTAATTCGCTAGCTCATTTCGCAGATCATTTTTGAATATATTCTTTGTAATCTAGTAAGTTCAGTAATGAAACATATTCATAGACTTCATTCATGGAGTAACAATTTAAACTTCTTTACTTTATTACATTTTTCATTTAATTTGTTAATATTGTAATGTTTTAGTACAAGAATGAATAAAATAAAGTATTTCAGCGAATGTTGAAATATTTTAAAAAGAAATATCAGCATTACGTAACACTAATCTATGACCCCCTACCCATATGTAACGAAGCGTGACGCTACCTCAAACCCATTCTCCCTCTCGTCAACGTTACGCAATGTATGGCCAACCCCTTGTAGTAATCTCTCTGTAAATCGATGTCGCATCGCTCGCGGGCAGCGGAACGCGCGACGCAGCGCCGCTGGGCAGAGCCACTTTCGCGGAAGCGAGGCGCCCCCCCCCCCGGCCGCGGAGGCTGAGCCGCACGAGGTCGCGAGCTGCCGCCGCCCAGCGAGAGGCTGAATGCGCGCTCCTTTATCCAGGCACGAACTCGCGACCCACAGCCAGGAAGGTGGCGGGCCTTAAGGCGCTGAGAATTGCTGCGGATACTTCACGATGCTTTTGTTGAACTTTTTTTACATCAAACTACCTGGGGGAAATATATATTAAGAATTCTATAAGTATTCTTCGTATACGAATGTGAATTTTTGTTGCTGAATACTAGTTATCGTTGTCAACTTTTTTCGATAGTTAATAATTGTTATTTTATGGATGCATTACAAAATTAAGCGAAGAAAATTACAAATTTCAAAGAAAAACAAAGATTTTTAACATTCGTTTTAAATATTGATTAAATTATAACGTGTTAATAGTCAAGCCAAAGAACACACTCAACAAACTATTTTATTTCAAAGCGGTTGATTAAAAATAAAAGAAAATACAAAAATTGTTTCTATCGTTGTTTTTTCTCCAGTTTTGAGCATACCTTTTAATGTCTTTGTTATTTTTTATATCAGTACCATTTAGAAACAGCAACAATTCTGAAAGTTTAATTGGGTTCTAATTCCTCGAAGAAAATGTGTTTTTATCGCAATAGAAAAGAAATACAATATTCTACACGAATTATTTAATTTAATGGAAAAAATCTTAGAATCTGTCGGTTGAAGACACTTTGTCAGAGTTATTTTCTCTCTATAACATGATAGGTTGGCGCTCTACAGCAAGAGTTCTCGGAATTCTTAATAAAAATAATTTTAAAAAATCTGAAACTGTGGTTGCGAGTCTTTATACTTGATAGTGCTGGGTAATTGATAGTGCAATATCTTAGAGAATACCTACGGGCATTGAAATACTACTTCCTTGACCACGTTTTCTTCAGCAAATACACTAAATTCAATGAATACACACAGATTATTAATGCAGCTTTGTGTACGTTAGAATTGTATTTCAAAGGAAGTGCCGCATAGGAATTAGGAATAAATTATACGGTAAAATGAAGTAATTAAGTACGACAATGAGTAATGAAAAGTGTAAAGAACTTATGTTCATTTTATTTATGTGTCCTAAATATTAAGCAACAAACATATACACATGCGAGAGTAAAAATATACATTCTAACGGAGTTACGTGTGACGAACACCCAAATGCTTGCACATTTTATAACGTCTCAGTTGATTACGATCTGTCCAATAACGATTCTAATAACGTCGGTAAAAACGAAGTGCCTAAATTCGAAAGTCTGCACCAGTCGTTTCCAACGTGCTTCGGTTAAACTTCCGCCACGTGGCTCGAGCTCGTATATTATCTTTTTCATAACTTTCGATGCCGACACCGAACGGCGACGGAACAATGAAAGATTTATAAGACTCCATCTTCGAGCATTGGTTATCTAAAACCTCTTTCCCGTTAAGTCATGTGGCGGTGACGTAAGATATCGTCGTGTCTTCCTCTTGCGTCGGTGTTCCACTGGATGCGAAGTGGCTGGCGAATAACGGTGTCAGCGTACCGCACAATCGGCACGTCGCCGGACCGGATTGGCGGGGCGCGGGCGGGGCGCGGGC